TTCTTAGCTCTGGGTGGTTTAAACAATTCAAGAATTGTTATTAATCACATAATTTGAAAGTGAGTGGTGAGTCTGTGAGTGCATATGTGAAAGCAGGTAAGAAATGTCTGGAAACTAGATAAGCTGATCGTGGGGGAAAATCACCTCCCAGATCTTCAATATGAATGAAAATTCTCTGTTCTGGAAGTGGATGACTAAAAATACTTTCAGTCTTAAGAAGGCCAAGTCAATGCCAGGTTTCAGGGCTATTAAGGACAGGGTAACTATTATTTGGGGGGTAAGGATGTTGACTGTAAATTGAAACCTTTATTATTTAGCGCAGTAAAAAACCCATGTCTTCCAGTGTATCAGTAGGCACTCACTACCAGTTTACTACAGGGGCAATCAGAAGACACCGGTGAGCCAGCTCCTCTTCCAAGATTCCTGCCTGAATTGCTATGCCAGCAAAGTGGAAAAGTATTTCTTGGAGAATAACATAGCTTTCGATATTTTGCTTATTGCTAATAATACTCCTGAACATCCTCCTTGTATTGGTAATCTTCATCCCAACATCAAAATGGGGTTTGGAGGGACAAACCACTTTGATCCAACCAACAAATTACAAAGGTACAGCAGCTCTTAAAGATTACTACCTGAGGAAGATTTTTATCCAGGCTATTGCTGCAACTAAGGAAGGCATGGAGAAGACATTAATTCAATTGTGGAAGGACATCTATGACTGAGAACCTTGCTTGGGTTTAGAATGATGTCACCAAAGCATGTGTTAACAGCATGTGGAAGAAGACACTTAAGAAGCTTGTTCAAGGCTTCAAAGTATTTGCTAAGGATGAGGAGGTTGCTAAAAGAAATAAGACTGGTTGAGATGGCAAACAAATTTAACCTGGGTGTGTATGAGGATGAATTGAGGAGCTCCTAAAGGTGCTTCCTGAGAAATTGACTAATGAGGAGTTGTTGGAACTGAACAGGAATGAATAGCTAAGGAAGAGTCAAAAGAAAAGAAAACTGTGAGAGAAGAAAAAGAAAAGGAACACCCCCCCAAAATTCATAGGAAATGGTTTAGCAGAAGCTTTCTTAGACCTCAGCAAACTGCTTGAAAAGTTTAAAAACATAAACTTCAACACCGAAAGGTTGTTATGAATAGAGAAAAATGGTGCATTGTGTGCCAAGAGGCAAATATATGATGAAACAAAGAAACAAACTAAGCAAACCACCATGGACATAGTTTTGAAAAGTGTGACACTTCCTCAAGAAGAGCCTCAGGCGGGTCCTTCAGGAGGAATCACAGAAGGCATGGATGTCATAGGAGATAGCAGCTCCGTACACGGTGTTGCCACTAAAGACCTTCAGTAAAATGAGACGTGGAGGTGGAAGGCAGTAATGTTAATAATCCTGATGCCGAATAGGTCTAGGGTAATGTGTATATTTGTGTCTTAGTTTTCAACAAAAAATTTTACAAAGAATAAGATAAGGAAAATTTAAAAAACATATAGAATAACAACATAAAGAAAATATTTTCTACAACTATACAATGTGTTTGTGTTTTAAGTTACATGTTATTGTCAGAGTCAAAAAGGCTAAATAAATTAAAGAGTTTTTGGTGTACAAATGTGACAGTAAGCTAAGGTTAACTTGTTATAGATGAAAGAAAATGCTTTTAAAAATAAATTTAGTGTAGCTTAACTCTACAGTGTTAGTTAAGTCTACAGTAGTGTCAGTAATGTACATTGATGTCCTAAGCCTTCATATTCACTCAGCACTCACTCCCTTACTCAGAGGTAACCCTGCAAGTTCCCTTCACGGTAAGTGTCCTATGCAGGTGTAACATTTTAACTTTTATACTGTATTTTTATTGTACTTGTTCTATGATTAGATCTGTTTAGATATACCAATACCTTTGCATTACTATTGCTTACAATATTCAGTACAGTAACATGCTGTATAGATTTGTAGCCTGGGAGCAATAGGCTATATCTATTGCTGTGTAGTATGCTTTACCACCTAGGTTTATGTAAGTACATTCAGCAATGTTCCCACAATGATGTAATTCCCTAGCAATGTATCCTTGCTGTCAAGCAATTCCTGACTGTTTAGGCTTATGTGATTATGGAGGCTTGAGAATCTCCATGATATGCCCTCTGAAAGTCGGAGGCCTAGGAAAGCTAATTGTATAATTCAGTCTAAGTCTGAAAGTCTGAGAATCACAGGAGTCAGTGCCGTAACTCCCAGTCTAAGGCTCAATGACTGATAATCAAGAACTGCCCACGGGTGAAGGCAAGAGAAGATGAATGTTCTAGCTTAAGGAGAGACAATGAATTTCCTGCAGCACAGGCAAGCCCCAATATATTAGCTAAGCCCAGGAGCGTTCTTGGCTTCACCCAGGAAAGAATTCAAGGGCCGGTAAGTGGTGTTAAAAAGCAACTTTTGTTGAAGTAGCAGCATACTGAAACATCAGCGTAGCAGCAGCAGACGTACTGCTCTGTGGAGCAGGGATACCCCATAGGCAGTGTGCCCAGAGTAGCAGCTCAGAGGCAGTTCTGCAGTCATTGTTATATCCAATTTTAATTGTATGCAAAATAAGGGGCAGTTTATACAGAAATTTTTAGAAAATGGGTGGTTACCTTCCGGATTATCAGGTCATTGTCATGGAAAGGGGTGGTAACTTCTAAGTGTTGCCATGGCCATAGTAAACTGACATGGCATACTGGTAGGCATGTCTTTAGAAAAGCTGCTTCCCCTCTTAACCTGTTTTAGCTAGTCCTCAATTTGGTTTGGTGTTTTAAGCCCCACCTTTGGAGTTGAGTCTCACTTCCGACCTCAAATTCACACTTCCTCAAAAATTTTTTTTCTGTTTGAGTCCTCAACAGATTGGATGATGCCTGCCCACGCTGGTGAGCGAAGATGTTTATACTCAGTCTCCTGATTCAAATATTAATATTTTCCAGAAATATCCTCACAGATACACTCAGAGATAATGATTTACCACTTCTTTCAGTATCCCTTAACCTGGTTAAGATAACAAAAAAAAAAAAGAAAGAAAGAAAAAATATATATGTATTTCTCACACTCATTTTCACTGCACTGCAGAAGGGTCAAACTTTGAGTTTAGGGAGATCGTTTGGGGATTACTAATTCAGAAAAGAAAGGGCATGGAATGAACCAGGTGATTAAAATGGGTTACAATGGAGATGGAAAACAGTGAAATATCTGAAAATTAAGAAAAACAATTGAAAGACCCTATGATTGATGGGGTATAGAAGTAAAGATGACAAAGAAATGAAGATTTGTTTAATTCCAGTGTATAAAGAGTGCCACAAATATATTGACTGTGTTTAAGCAGAGTTAAGTATATTAATTATCTACAGCAAGAGAAATGACATACAAAGGAGCATCTTGGTAAGAAAAATTTGATGAAGATTATATAAATAATAATTGTGATGTCTAATTTTTTGTATCAACTTGACTAGGTTAAGGGATGCCAGACAGCTAGAAGAACATTTCTGGGTGTGTCTGTGGTTTTGGAATAAACTAATATTTGAATCAGTAAACTGAGTAAAGAAGATCTACCTTCACCAATATTGGTGAGCATCATCCAATCCATTGAGGGTTTGGATAGAACAAAAAGAGAAAGGGTTAGTGCTTTCTTTCTTATCTTGAGCTGGGACATCCATCTTCTGCTCTTGGACATCAGAGCACCTGATCCTTCAGTCTTCAGACACTGGGACACCAGTGCCTGCTCCTACTTTCTGGTTCTCAGGCCTTTGGCCTTAAACTGGGACTGGCACCATTGGCTCCCCTGGTTCTCAGGCTTTTGGACTCAGACTGAATTATACCATCAGGTTTCCTGGGTCTCCAGCTTGCAGACAGCATGTTGGGGGATTCTCAGGCCCCATAATTGCATGACTCAATTTTCATAATAAGTCTTTGCTTATCTACAGTAAGTTCTCATTTGATATAAACAATAAATTCTTGGGAAATAAGAACTTAAGCAAAAATATGTATAACAAAGCAAAATTTTTTCTCATCAACATTATAACAAAACAACCAACATTGAAGGAAACAGGAAACAACCTTATTTGAAGACCTGTTATACATTATTATTGTTATTATTTTTGAGACAGAGTCTCACTCTGCCACCCATGCCAGAGTGCAATGGCACAATCTTGGCTCACTGAAACCTTGGTCTCCAAATTTTAAACGATTCTCCTGCCTCAGCCTCCCTAGTAGCTGGAATAACAGGTGCCCGCCACAGTGCCCAGCTAATTTTTGTATATTTAGTAGAGACAGGGTTTCACTATGTTGGCCAGGCTAGTCTTGAACTCCTGACCTCAGATAATCCACCTGCCATGGTCTCCCAAAGTGCTGAGATTACAGGCTTGATCCCATCATGCCAGCCACATTGTTTTGCTTAAAGTTGAAGTTTCTTAGAACCTATCAGCAAAGTTAAGTGAGGACTTATTGTGTAAATATATTAATCCTATTGGTTTGGCTTCTCTGCAAAATGGCTTTGGTAAGTTTGGGGTTCCTATTGAAGCCACAAGTGGTAATATGTAGTTGGGAATAGAAGGAAATATATTTTAGACTAAATCCCATATCTCTACAATCCAAACTAAACATGTCTTGTGTTTTCACAAGAGCAAAAATGATCAAACATCGTATAGAAATTCCATTCACTATAAAAATCCTGAATATAATTACAGATGCAGTTCAAATTTATAAGTTCAGAAATATTAATGAATCATGTTAATATTTTCTTCTATTGCAAAGTATTTTTCTCAAATTTCTCTGCTTAGATAGAGGTAGTGGAACTCACATCAAAGTATTCGGAACCTGTAGTTTAAGACAGAAAAACATTTTATATCACTTGTTGCCAACTGGAGAATTTCCTGAGTTTTAATATTGACTTTGCTATTAGATTAAATAAATAAATGGAAATTTAGAAGTAACCATATAAGTGATCACCTCTTTATCATGCCTGGTAATTTTTTTGGGGGGATGGAAAAATCAGATAGGAGCAATTAAGGTGCTGAAAGTCCTGCTTACTCAGAGATGTTAATCATGTATCACGTGAACCCCAATCATGTTCTAATTTGCCCTTTAAAAGGAGGAACAGGTAAGAATTATCCCAACTGACAATACCTGGTGATATTTAAGTATAATATCCAGTCTCTATATAACCACTTTCCATATCAAAATAGGATTTAGAAATATTAATGGTAATAGTTTGCTTTATTTTATGTAAATAAAATAGCCCTTCTCTTTACATGAAATTTAAAAACCAATTTATACATTGGGTTTAGAAACCAATGTATAAATTTGCAAAGTGGGTTCTAGGACAGGTTTAAAAATGTCATTTTTTTTTAGTTAATATTTTCTTTGTTAGTACTGTTTAACCTTTAGCAAATTTGGTTTTTGTAGTCTACTCTTAAAAATTATCACTTTTTGTCACTCTCTAAATATTTGATGTTGAAATCCACATAACATAAACAGAATGCAACTGTCACTAGGCAGGGTACTTTATCATTCATTTGCTATTGGAAGGCTAAACACAAAATGCAACAAAGAACAGAAATATAAGAATCTCACTTGAAGATAGCACTTATAATGGTATGTCATTTTAATTACCAATGGAATATAATATTTTATAATATTTTATTTACATATTAAACTTGTTAGTACTTAAGAGCAAATTCCATGTTTGCTTTTTTTTTAAAGTCATTATCTAGTTTATTTCTTGAAATGACACCTAAGTAGGAAAAATACACTACTGATAAAGCTATTCCTTAGAAAATATAAGAACAATCTCCTCTCTGATAATTTTGTTCAAAAACAATTAGTAATTCACAAAATCTAGAGTTGCATGAATTTATAAAAATGAAAGAATATTTTAATATAAAATTAGTACCAAGTTTAGAAAAATACTAATTTAAATTTTATTCCACTCAAGAATCAGTATAATATATTAACTTAAATAATGACACAAATTGAAAAATACATGTTAGTCAAGTGATGATGAACACAATGAAGTAAGACTGAGTTAAACTGTAAGTTCTAACATTTATAAGTTCTTTAATATTGGCAAGTTTTTGAAAGTTTTTTGTGCCTCATGTTTTGCATCTATAAAAGAAACATACTTAATATAATAATGCTGAGAGAATTGAATAACAATATGAAGGACTTGAAAAGTGTATCATGTATAATAGACACAATATAAATGTTAGGTGATAGTGAAGAGGTTGATGATGATTTTCTTTAATAATTTAATTTGCATTGTGGTCAGTTTCTATGACAGTGTCCTTGTTTACAATAATAATATATTCATTTGTTTCATATAGTTTTTTCTCAATAATTGCAAACTACAGTAAGAAAAACTGTTTTATAAAAAGCCAAAATGATATTTTTGTCATACTGTCACATGAATCAACAGATGGTTTATAAATTTCCTTTATAGCTTTTCAGAATAGAAATACAGTCATATAGTCAAATGAATTTGATTAGACAAATACTTATTTTGAACAAGATTTAGTATACCATGAAATATAAATTATATGTACTTATGTGATGGTGACATCTAATAATAGATTATCTGCTTCTTAAAGTGGAAGGAAATATAAACCCTCTACAAAATTGAAAGAAAATATGATATGACATAACTGTCAATCTTCTTTAATGCATAATTTTAACATTGACCAATAATACATGAAAAGAGAAAGGAGAGAAAGAGAAATTGACAATTACTTAGTGACAATTGTGTGGTAGATGCTGTTCTAGTTACTATGAGCATTTAAAGCCATTTAATACACTGATAGTGTTCTACAAGATTTAAATTAATACCTTCATTATTCTTGCATGTTACATAATTTTAACAGCTTTTGAGGTATTATTGATATACAAAGAACTGCTCATATTTAATGTTCCCAGTTTCATGAGTTTGCAATATATGAACATCCATGATAGCATCACCACAAAGAAGGTGATAGACATGTCCAGTATCTCCTAAAGTTTCCTTGTGTCCATTTTTTTTGTAGAAAGCATATGAATACAACACAAGACATTCTTTATATACAAGTTTTGAAGTGCACAAACCCATATTAATTGTAGGTACTATGTTGTCCAGAAGATCTCTTACTACTATATAGGGAATTTCCCATTTCCCCTATTTCCCAAACAGCACAATCAATATTCTCTGCTTCTATGAGTTTGACTATTATGAATATTTCATACAAGTGGAACTATGAAGTATTATTACTTTTATGACTAGTTTCTTTCACTTAGCATAATGTCCTCCAACTTCATCCATGTTCCAAATTGCAGGGATCTTCTCTTTTTCTAAGGCAAGGTGATGATCCATTGTATGGATTCATCATATTTTAAATCTATTTATCTGTTGATAAACATTTGTTTTGATCTGATCTCTGACAGGAGTGGGAAGAATACACAATGTGGAAAGGAAACTGTCTTAAATGCGACTGAGATCACTGGGTATACCCAAGTAAAAGACTGAAGTTGGACTCCTATCTTACACTATTTATAAAAGTTAACTAAATCCAATAACCTAAATATGAGACCTAAATCTATAAAGCTTTCAGAAGAAAATTATTACAACTTTATGACCTTGAATTTGGCAGTTGATTCTTAGATATGACAAAAATGCAAGCAACAAAATGTAAAACAAACAGCTAAATTCAACTCCATTAAAACGAAACACTTTTCTGTTTCAAAGGCATTTTCAAGAAAGTTAAAATGCAACCTATAAAATGGGAGTTAATATTTGCAAATCACATAATAAGATAAAGGTGTTATATGCAGAATATATAAATAATTCTCACCATTCAACAACAAAAAGTTAAATAATCCAATTTAAGAATAAGCAAAAGATATACAAATGCCCAAGAAGTACACGAAAAGATACTCAGCATTAGTTAGTCACCATAGTGACTAACGCAAGTCAAAACCACAATAAGATACCATCTTATATCCATTAGAATATCTATAACTACACACAAGCAAGAATAAACAAAGAAACAAAAAACAGAAAATAAGAAGCATTGGTGAAGATATAGAGAAAGAGACATTCTTAAATCTTGCTAAAGGGAATGTAAATTTATTCAGCTATTGTAGGAAAAAGTTTGTCCATACCTCAAATAATGAAATTTGAAAGTATTATATAACCCAGTATTCTACTCTGTGGTGTTTACCAAAAAAATTATAAACAGATACTCAAACAAAAACTTGTACATGGATGTTAATAGCAGCACTATTCCCAATAGCCATAAGGTGAAAACAACCCAGGTTCATCAACCAACAAATGTGCAAACAAAATGTGGTATATCCATATAATAATAATCAGCCATAATATAATGAAGGACTGATACTTTCTATAACACAGATAAATGTCAAACATATGTTTAGTAAAATAAACCAAACATCAAAGTTCATTTTAATAGTTATATGATTATTACCATTATGTGATTCCATTTATAGAAAGTATTTTTAAATAAATACATATAGAGAGAATGCAGTTTGTTTCCAGGGACTGAAAGGGCTGTGGGGCAGTGGAGGCTGGAGAATGAATATTTATATGTATGAATTTGAGGGAGTTGTGATAAAAATGTTTTGGATCTAGACAGACATTGTGATTGCACAATATTGTAAATATTCTAAAGATTACCAACTTGTTCATATTAACATGGTTAATTTTAAGTTATGTAAATTGTACCTCAATAAAAAACAAATATGAAACTTCTTAGGAAGGTGGGATAGAGTTCAAAAGTTATCTGATACAGGAACAAGTGTGTAAGAGTCAGAATATAAAAACGAAAGTGTTGACCAAGGTACTTAGATTTGGATAGAATTGATGCTTATGCCTGAGAGAGAGGAGAAAAATAGGATGTTTGATCAGCTGTGGGATAAGTGATATTTAAGAGATGTATATTATCTTTCACTTCTTTTTCAATAGCAGTCAGACATGAAACATTAAGGGTAGGGTTACATTTAAGGCTTTCAAAAATTTAAAATATTTTGATTAATTAGTACAGGGTCTCAATTTGTTACCCTAAAATAAATAGTAAGATTTACAGAAAGAATACAAAGTTGTGAACAATTACCAAAGAAATAAAAATCTCTGGAAGGAAAGGAAATTGGTTTACAGGTTGATTTTTTATGCCAATTTTTAATGACTGTCATGAGACATGTTCTTGCTCAATTATAGAATTCAAGGGGCCAAGAATCATGATGATATTAGATTTATCAATAGCATCAATTGGAAAAAATAAATCAATGAAAAACTTATTCAATAGTTTGGTTAAATTAATTTCATAGAATTTAATATCAACATCAACTACCAATCAAAACTGAGCACAAGAGCACTGAGAACTCAATAGTAGTTTTATTTTCTCATACTCATTTATAAATTGGTATACTCCTTATTTATATTTAGAAAATATAATTCTGTAGTGGGGTTTGTACCTACAAATTTTCTATTTGTTTCCCACTTGATCCAACAGCTGTATGTTGTTGTTTTCTTTTCTCTTTTAGTCTTATTTTTACTGACCCGTGTTTTTCAATATCATATTTTGCCATTCTGCTAGCTAGAAAGATTCACATTTCATTACTGCTAGAGTAATGAATGCATTGTTGAATCATTAGGGTTAATATAATTGAATACTTTGCTTCCCAGGATAACAATATATTAGAACTCATTAAATTAATTTCTCCTTCCTATTTCTTTTTGTTTTGTTGTCATACATTTATGGTTCTACATTTTAAAAACCTATATGTATCAACGTTCTTGTTTTCTGCAATAGCTATTTATTGATATTTACCCACAAAATCATCCTTTTGTTATTCTTCACTTCTTACTGCATATTGTTACTTTGGTCTGGGATTATGTTCTCTGCCAGAAGAACGTTTTTAAAAGTAATTCTTCAGGTACAATCTGCTGGAAACAGTTTTTGTTTGTTTTCACTAGTCTGGAAATATCTTTACTTTTAAATGATATTTTTGGTGGAAGTATAATTTCTAGGTTTGCTAGTCATTTTCTTCATCACTTTAAAGTTACCATTTATTTTCTTCTCCTTTATGTAATTATTTGAGAAGTAAAGTTTTATCATTTCAACTTTAAAAATGACAGTTCG